CCCGCGTACCCTGCACTGTACTTGTGGAGGTAGTTGGCCAAGTCCAACCACGTTCGAAGATCCTTTTAAGATCGGGGTGCTGGCCATGCTGCTATGGCCTTGACCTAGTCTGGGTCAGCCCGAACAGCCACGTTGCTTACGAAGCCATCGAGAACCTTGATCTCTGTTGACGCGAAGACATACTTGTCGATGTTGACGTTGATTTTGTTCGCTCGCATCACGTCCAAAACTCGACGGAGGTGCCCCAAATGCACCTCCATGACCGTCTTGCCTCCTTCGGCACGACTATGGACGAAGCTGTCGTCGTAGTAGGTTTGTACGAAGCCGCGCAATAGCCTGAACAGTTGCGTCACCAGGCGGCTGAATGTCGCCGGGGCGTTAAACAGGCGCTGCGGCATGACGAACCACTCCCAAAACATGCCACTTAGAGTGTTAACCGCGGTGAGCGGGATGTCTCTTTTGCGCATCATGATCTGGTAGTATCCGTCTACCAAATCCAACGCACTGTCCAGTACGCTTCCGGTCATATTGTTCAACAACAATCCTTTGGTGGGATTGGTGTCTGGGCCGGCTCCGTCGCGTTGTTCAGCTTGTTATATGCATGAACTAGACGCCACTTCCAGCTCGGCTCCCGAACGCAGAAAGTTGGCGTCGAGTGCGGGGAATTTGACTCCCGCCACGCCTGCCTTCGCAGCGAAGAAGGAATCGATGGTACGCGATGCCATGACAGCGTTAGAAGGAGTACATGGAAGAGAAAACTTAAGTGTATTTAAAATGGGTGAATTAGTGTTATTGGACACGAGGAGCCTATATCTAGACACTGTAAGCTCGGTCGGCAACAACAAGCTGAAGCACCGCTTTATTGGACCGTTCGCAGTTCTGGACAGGCATGGTGCGTCGTACGCTATCGACCTGCCGATGTCAATGGCGACGCACCCGACGCTCTACGCTGGACGTCTTTGCCGGTACTATGTTCCGCAGGGGGTTGCTGACTCGCAGACCCACCTTGGCCCAACTCCTCGAAGCGAGGGCCGGCCACAGACGTCGACGAGGGCGTCTGAACAGGTACCCAATCTTCGCGCTGAACAGCAAGGCTGCGGTCGAGACCGTACGCCGGAGAGGCCCCGTACGAATGGACCCCAGAGCCATACACCGAGTACGTCGAATACGTCGGGTACGCACCATACGCGTACGACTAGGCGTGCGCCGAAATTGGCTCCGACGTGGCAGTAGAGCCTCAACACGTCGGATTATGCAGAAGGTTTCGTCAAGATCGGACGAAGAGACCCGCAGAAGCCGGCTTGAGACCGCCCGCGTCAACAAGTCCAGGCAGCTCGCAAGACGAGCGAGCACGCCCTGATTCCCGGCCTGGGCGGCAGCATCTCCGCCAACTCCACGGCCCAGTGCAATCTCAAGCTCGATGACGCGTTGACGAAGGCGGTAAAACACGGGGCCCTGCATCGGTCCCGACGGAGAAGCACTCGGACGAGAATCGCGTTCCGGAGGCGCCGAGTACTCGTACTCGTACGAGGGCACCTCCACCCCCTGCTTGGCCGGAACAGAGAAGTACACTATCACATGGAGCAAATTATCCAGGAGCAACGGCGTCGCGATATGCGACAGCTCCTCGTGAAGTGGAGGTGTTATGCCCGCTCCGAGAACTCGTGGGAGCCGATTGAGCGGCTCCTGATAGACCGCCCGAAGGCTGTCGCAATCTGGTAATAGAAGCGGCGGTAGCGTCATAAATAGTCCGGGCCTTCTTGGCCGAACGGGGTACGGACGTTGACGACACTCCGTACCCGCGCTCATCGTAAGCGCTAGAAGCCGCGCGCTTCAGAATGTCTTTTGGCAGCATGGACTTGCTGACCATGTGGTCAAACCGAATACGGAGATCTCGCTGGTCCAGGATGCGGGGCAGCAGCTGATCTTCCTGGAGTTCCCGTAACTCCGAGGGTGCGTACTTGAGAGACTCCACCCAAGCCCAGAACATGTCCGCACAAGAACTCCAGTTGGGACAGCTCTCGGAAAGAACACAGAAGTAGCCCCAGAGAGGGTAGATACCACCCCGGCTCTCGGGCTTCTTACGACAAGTCGTGAAGTCCTTCAGAGGGATTCGGCGCGGCGCGAGAAGCACGCACCGGGCCGCCTCCAAGTCGTCAACATACATCTATTTATTCTGGAACAGGGCACGTTTGAGAGCGCCCTTAGAAGTGTCGCCGCCGACAAGGCCACGAGGAGCGACGAGGATCTTCAAGAAGAGGTCAGCCCCAGAGCTTTTCTCGGTAGACCAATAACTTCTTGAGTTGATTGCAGCTCCCCGGCTAACGGGTGCCACCACCGGACCACCACGCGTGCGCCGAGCAGCTTCGAAGTCCTCCTGCTGCTGGTCGAGGCCGTTATGGATCTCCCGGGGCTCAGGAATAGCACCCTCCTCCTCCTCTTCATCCGAGGAACCGAAGAGGTTTCGATAGGAGTACCCAGCCTCCCCCTCCTAGCGGAGTAGAGACTTCGAAGCCGTACACTTCTTAGTGGGCTTGGCGTTTTCGGCTGTGGCCTTTGCAGCCTTGGCACGCGGAAGGCCCTCGGCGAGCGAGAGATATTTGAGAGGTTTCTCTTCGTCGTCATCGCCAGCTTTGGGAGAGCCCTTAGCCTAGATGGCAGGACTCTCAGAACCCAGAAACGTCCTGAGACTGCGATCACAGTGATCACTAGCGAGCGAGTGCACGCTCTCGCCATCGTGCTCGCTGGGCACTGGAATGTACCCTTCCACGAAGCCCACAGGAGCATCGTGAGTGCTCCCGGACTCGGCCTCGTCCTCACTGCCCGAATTTAACTCACGTTCAGCGAGTCGTGGGTTCGGACGGCTAAGGCGACGGACTGTGGCGCTTGCTTGCACGCTTGCTCGCAGACGCGTCACTAGATGAGCCGATCGCCTCCGAGGCCACCTTAGTATCCTCCAGGAGTGCAGAGCCTTTGCTGCGAGGCTTAGCGGTCTTGGCTCGCGCCTTTCCGGCAGCAGCCTTGGAGCGTGTCCTCGCACCGCTCTTGGCCGTGCCACGAGGCATGGTAAACGGTCGAAGTGGAGACCTAGAAGAAGCGCGCACACTGCTGCTCGAGGCTCTAACTGGGAAGTGAGCCTCCGCCGCGCTCGCGCGGCCAAGTCGATGGGTTTCGACTTTAAGAATGAGAGTTTGTGACGTACACTTCCTCATTCTGATTGGTCGGTAAACCGAACCTAAGCAGAGAAGGATGTAACGGGGTACATAGCCTCAAGTGTACCCCCTATGTACATGAAGTATGACACGTCACACTTCGGAATATCTGGTACATAGTACCAGGGTCGTCCGAGGCCAACCATTGGCTGATGACATTTGTTTTCTATAGGTTACTTATAGTTTGTATATTTAACTCAAGCTTAGCATACCTATAAATATACTCAGCTTACAACTTACCTTAAATTGGTCACTTCGCTCCCTTAGGCAAAAAGACCTGTGGACTGCCGCTCACTGAGAGTTTGTACTCGGAGGCCAACTTCCTCTAGCGCAAGGTGCTGTGTGACCCCGTCACACCAGATCACACAAAAAAACCAGCAGAGCAATGTAATTACAAAGTTTGCAAATGAACGAGTAGACTATTCTGTACGTACACAATTGTACTAGTGTAATTTCATAAATCTGTGTCAGCATCATGCCTACCTGATTTTCTAATAATCTTGAATCAAGGTTCTTGATGCAATCTCGTTATCATTGTTGGCTATCACTGTATCTTCATATTCTACCTAAAAACACCTGCATTTCAAATAACATTTATACAAACGCTACACAATATTATTTTTATTAGTTTAGCGTCGTGCACGATATTACTGGCCATTTCTGAGCCGCTATGAAACTTAGCTCACATTAACGTAAAAGATAGTAAGGGCCTGTCCAGCTTGCACTACGTACCCGCTTGTACTGCCTATTTGACCTTGTAGTAACTAAATATTACTCACTTCTCATACCAAACTCAATGAAAGCTTGAAGTTTTTGAAAATTAAGTATTTTTATGCATGTAGCGTTCGTTTTGTGCTGATTCGGAATTGGTTATCAGATACTCGACTGTGTGAAACTTATTATTAAAGCATTTGGATAATGTGTCGCAAAACGCCTTGCTGCTGCTGTTGTTGACGGTAGTGCGTTTTATTTTATCTTTAGCGATGATTCCAGGGTAATTAAGCGTCGTTTAGGCTTCAGATGTATTACCCTTTCTTTCTGGGGTCTACTTAATTTACGCATCGCATGTTGTGTCGTTGTCTTTCCACTCCATTTAAAACTTTATCCTACGCCCTTGTCGGCGAGACGTTCGCCAGGTTAGTAGTATCAGTTTTTGCTGTCTAAACAACTTTTAGAATACAAAGGTCGAGTTCAATTCGCTTATAGTAGCAATTGTTACCAGCACATATAAGTTAGTTTCGCTCCATCTAAAATATCTATCGTTATGGCCCAAGCGACAACGTCTTTTTAGCACAGCGTTGCTCTTTCGGCATACGCCCAGCTTTTTTTTTACATGTACTTCGATTTCGCAGTTCATTCAGCTACCTCACACTCAGATAAGTTATTAGCCCTTTAGAGCCCCGTTAATGCATGTTTTGAGAACTTTGCTGCAAATGGCTATGACGGGGGTCATTTTGACCCACTTGACAGAGGTTTAACCAGCACATCCATCACCTTCTCTTATTACAACCAATCCGGTCGGTTGCCAACCTCCCATATTTTACGTGATGGTTGCCGCACCACGTAAAATACGCGCGTAGGTGCGAAAATTATTGAGATTGCGTCAGCATTTTGCATACTAAGTACGTAATTTTGCTGATGCGCCAGCATAATGCGGTACGTACCCCATCTTCGCACCATTACTTGCATGTCCGTTTCGACAGAATTGTCACACAAAAGTTTAGCCAGTTGCCATTTATACAATTTCCTTACAAATACTTAGTCAGTTGCCTTCTTGACACAGTATCAATGACAACTACGTTCACTTTAGAAGACGACAAAGAAATGGTTCAGCTAGCGTCCGCCCATGTAGACGCAGGTACGCGAATGGCGTGGGCAGATATTGCCCAGCGTGCAGCATACAGGCCACAATGCCAGAGGAGCACTGCAGTAGCGCCTTCGGACGCTAAAAAACGTGGGGAGGGGGGGCAAGCTTCTTCACGCCGGTGCAACGGCCACGCGGTCGACCACCCAGGGTGGCGCGTCAGTTGGTTCAATATGTTCACACTACGCAACAGCGACAGCGCAGAACAGGACCTTCGGTGCAACAACAAAGCTCGGCTGGAGATGATTCGGTGCGGCCACAGCGTCCAGGTGCAAGTGTTGCGGTACGCCCACCTCTACAGCGGCAAGCAGCTGACTCACAACGTGATCGTGTTGGGTTCTGGCCCCAGCAACACCCGCTACCGTCTACAGCGAGTAAGGTGCCTCATCTTTAGCCACTCAAGCACTTCCAACGTCTCCTGTGTCTGTCGTGCCTCCATCAATCCAAGTACCTCCCGTTAATCAAGTACTTCCAGCAACACAGGGGCATCCAGCAATTTTAAGATCCTCCTATCACTGAAGCGTCAGCGAGTACGGTACCCCCAGCTACACAAGCGCCTTCAGCGCTTGCAGAATCTCCAGCACCAACGCCACCGGTGACACATGTAGCAAGCCTGAGGCTCTGAGGCTCCGGCTACGGTCCACACGCTGCTTTTGACAAGTTCTGTGAAAATGTATCCCGACGTTACTTCCATCACCCAGTCTGCCGACGCCGAAGACATGGTGGGCTCTCTAAGTGAGAGCATTCGTTCTGTAAGCTCTCCTGGCCTTCCTGAGGAAGATGGATCGCCGCCAATGCCCCTTTCTAGTGGCGAGCGAGCTGTCGCGGCGTTTTTGCTGACATTCTTTGCGAAGAGGTTGTACAAGGCGCCAGCAACCTGTCGCATCGCAACGCCGGGTGACTGATGCCGAGAGGAATTTCCACACTGCTTCGTGAATTGGGTGGACTCGACCGGAATGATACCTTCCTAGATATCGGTTCCAGGGTGGGGAACGTGGTTGCCCAAGTGGCGCTGGCGACAAGTGTGAACAAGGTAATTGAGATCGAGATTCGCCGTAATTTCATAAACCTTGGAATGAAGATGATGGCAAATCACACGAGGGTCTAGACGGCCCCTCCGGCGAGCCCAACTTGTTTGCCAAGCCATGACTGACATACATCGCATTTTGACGACCCAACCGTACGCCGACGCAACAGTAGTGTTTTGGAACAATATTCTGTTTGAACCACAGGTTGTCGAGATCGTCAAGGAAGGGCTCTCTAAAACGTTGCTGTTAAAAAACACCGGTGAGTTCTCTGAATTTCTGCGCAAGGCATTGATGCCTGTGTCACAACCCGTTCTATCAAGCTTTAAAATTGGAGAAAGTGTTGGACCTACCGTGCAGCTGGAAGACCGATCTCCAACAAATGTTTGTGTACGAGGCACTATAAGCATAAGTACATAACGAATTCAACGCAATACATGTTTTGGTCTTTCACATTTCCATACTTTGTTTAAGGGACTTGCCAGTCTTATACGTAATTACACTCAATACAATTTTTTTAAGCGTAGATCAAGATAACTGTCAACATTCATAGAGCGATAGACCTTACAACCGTTCTGGTCTCGCCAGTAGCGCCAAATCCTTCACCATCATTTGCTCGTCTTGACCATCAGTTGTACGCTGACTGCGCTTCAGCTTGCACAGCTCACAGCTCGTACGCACCATCCCTCTCTGTGAGAAGGTTTTTTTTTCGGTAGGTAGAAAAGATGGTGCTTCTCCCTACGGGTCCAGGTAGTTTCAGGGAAGGCGTATGGCTTGATCGAGACGCGTACATTCTGGCAGAGACTGACGTCCGTAACTTTATTCCCATAGCGATCTTCCCAACAACACCCAACTCACTTTTTGCGTTTGCGATTCCTGTCTGTATCGAACTGCTTTCGAGGAAATAGCGGAGCATTTTGTTTTAGGGCTTTCAGAGCATGGCATTCCACCAATTGGTCGAGCAATCCAGACTGTGCTCGACGGAGACGCGCGATCCGGAAACACCTCGCCCACCGCAGTATAAGCGTAGAACACCAGCCGTTCACTCGGCTGCTTCTTCCATTTCTCTTAAACAGGCTCGGAGCACAGCTCAGCTACGAAGGCTCGAAGAGAATTCCGTGCCTTGTTCAGCTCCGGTGCCAGTCTTCGGGTCAAATATGCATTAGCTCCGGCCACATCGATAAGAGCTAATGCAAGCTTAATATGCCATTTGTTTTGGAAGCGTGGCCGTCCGATAGAGAGACCCGAGCACACACATGATCAAGATGATCAATACCCTGCATATTCGCATTGTATTCCTTGATACATGATGGGGCTGAATAGTTTCATTTTTCAGCTCGAACCTGACGCGTTACCGTAGTGAGGGTTGATAAATTCGCGTTCGATATCACCGTCACCATAGAGCTGGCATACCATGACGCCGCAGCCAGCGAGTGGTCGGCGGAAACGCCTTGTCGAGAGACGCCACGGAAGTAATCATTTTGTTTTTCAAAAGTACATAGCAAGGCAAGTGCGAGCTAGTCTTTTGCACAGCATTGCGAGCATAGAGACCCTTGAAAGGTAGCGCCATCAGCAATTGCACCGAAGTGTACTGATTGTCCGTGTTGATCATCCGACAAATACCATACAGGGGCCGAGCCGCTTCTAGTACGCATTTCCGTATCGCAGACAACTCCGCAGCTTCGTCGCTCAACGCCTGTTCTTCTTGCGGCGATAAAACGCCACCCAATCGCTCCGAGGTATTACTAGCACAATGCAGTCGAAAATTCACCGATATTCAGCTTGTTCAACAGCAGTACAATGAACAGCGCTTTTACTAGACTCGTGTTATTGGCAAAACTAGTGTTGATTGTTCTCAACCGATCCAAATTCGTTGATTCAGTGGCGATAATCACATCGCAAGAACAGCATAACATGTAAATCCGGAAGTGATACTTCCCTTGTCGGCTTCATTGGATTATAGACAAGTAGTGGTTTTCCATACTTTGACCGACACGCACCGCTTGCTTCTGTCAGAGCAACACTGCGACCGATTTCCACATATTTCGATCCGGTAGTCTTTAGCAAGTTCAGTAACGGACGAATCCTTGCAGCTTGATCCTGGATATCCGAATTCGCCTCCACGCATTGAAAGCAGAACGCCTTCCTCAGTTCCTTAAACCGATGCAGAGTCGTCACATTATAAAGCGCGCTGGATGTTTAACCCAGTATTTCGTTTTCTCCACTTGTGTCCCCAATAGTTAGCGTATTCTGCTTTGTCAACCAGAGACAAAAACAGCGAGATCCCCAAAAATGTCATCACTTCATCAAGTGAAAAGGTCTTACCGACTGCGACGTTATGTAGGCGCGCATATGCATTTGTTTCACCGATAACCTGGTGCCAAAACCGAGACCGGAATGTAAGCGAAAAAAACTTGCGGAGGTCCAATGCTGGAAGATATGTTTGCATTCTGGCCGTAATCGCGTCTCTGTAGATTCGTCAGAGTGTTGATACAGGTCTGCTGGAGCATCACACTGGCTTTCAGGATCAAAGCGAATGTTTTTGATCGCTTCTACCTCTGCTAGCGAAGCGTAAGCTCCGTCACAGGATCGAACGGCTCCAAGTACCGCTCCCAAAATGTCTGTATCGTCATCGACATAAACTTCGCCATCATCAGCTGCGCACAACCGTCCCTAACCCAACTCAGTAGATCGTCCGTGTAGTGAGCAATAATTTGCGTTTCCTCGTTGCACTGCGCCGAGGTCTAACGTCTTGACATGGCTTTGGAACTGCGAGATCAGCTAGTTGATCTGAAACAAGGACTGTTTCAGCACCCGACAGACTCTCCCAACCAGGAAAGCGTTTCGGACGCCTACATACTTCTTCGTTTGGGTGATGAATCCTTCCTTCGCTGATGAAAACGCCACCAGCGTGTCCACGTACAATGATAAAACCGATGGTAGAGATCACTTCGCTTGTCGTGTAGTTGTGACAGGCTCCGTGGCTATGGTGTGTGTCGGAGATGCTAACCTGGCGTTGGACAACGTGGAGCCGTCTGATGTGAAGGGCACCCTTGCATGTACAGTGGGTATGGGATTCTCGGCGTCTGCATTTTGAATGAGTTGGGGTGCTACAGCCGCTGTAGCCTCGTCCGTTTACCTTGTTCAAGGCTGCGCCTGCACGTGGGAAAAACTAACGAGGGCCCTCCTAGAGAGGGCCCTCACACAAAACGGGCAGAGGTATTACCGTTAGTGCTGCAAATAGACCGTTAGTGACGCAGCCGTTAGTGATGCAAAAAGACCGTTAGTGATGCAAAAAAATCGTTAGTGATGCAATTCACAGCTTGTGACGTAAATAGATCTTCCAAAGTGCTATCTGAACGAAAACAGCTTCAGTCTTCAAATGGCTTCCAACCCAAGACTTGAGTTTCCGCCCGACGGCTATCTAGTGCTGCCCCTCAATCTCACGCAAGCAACTATTTCATGTGTGCTTCGACAAGCAAGACGATCTGTATATATTAGTGTTTTCCGTGAGGTGGGTGGCGAAGAAGACGACACATTCCGAAGCCAATCACGTCAAAATTGTCTTTCGCCACAGATGAAAAAGCTCCACAGGAAAATTGAGGAGGTGGTTACACTAGTTGATGCAAACTTTCGAGCACAAGTTTATTCATTTTTGTACTCGCGCCCTGGTGGGCCTGAGCAAGGACCGCATGCAGACTTCACAAGTAGCGACGTGGAAGCTGTCAAGATGCGTTTTCCCCGCAGCATTCCAGCTAGTGTCGTCGTCGCGCTCGAAAGTGGTACACAATTAAGAGTTTACGCCGGATGTTACACTGTGGCACGCGAGGAGCGATCCCGGTTGGTGGATATCCCTATTGGTTACTGCATTGTTTTTCGGGGCGATCTTCTTCACGCTGGAGTAAGCTATTCACAGCACAACTACAGAGTCCACTGCTACCTTGCAATTTGAAGGTGTTTCGTGGGTACCTGATATTGTCATGTCTGCTTTAACCTCAAGTTTTAACTGTCAATACTGGTTACGCTGATGCATCTTCCAATCGAATGCGTAACCATCGCTACTTTTCTGTTTATCTAACCCAGTCGGACAACAACACCGGGTGATTCGGCAGCAACTACAGAACGCAAAGGGGAACCTACTCGTGTGATCTGTGCCAAAAATCGTTTGCAGTGAAAAGTAGTTTGAGGGAGGTCACATTAGCCGCAAACTCTCTTAACCCAATAGCCTCAATTCCATTTATTTGTGGATTTTTATAATATTTTTTTATTCAATTTTCTATAGACTTGTTGAAGTGTTTGAACACTTCAACTGTTGATGTTGTAGCGTACACGGCGTCGAGATACATTAAAGCCGTGGCTTAAGGTCCATGCATGTACTGCGGCTTCTGCTTCGTCATGAGACGAGTAGTTGGCTTCAGGTGGAGGTGGAATTAAAAAGAGCGGGGGTTTCTCCTTCTCCATTGTACGGTAACTTGGTTTGTGGTACTCGCTACTGAGCTCCTGTACACGCCAGCCATTCGCGTACGGCAACCCCATCCACAGTAATGGTACTCTTACAACCTTTCAATATGTTAACAACCTTTCGTCTGGTTGGCAACGCTGTACCGGTTACAGTACGGTAACGCTGTACCGATAACAGTACCGGTAATACCTCTGCCCGTTTTGTGTGAGGGCCCTCTCTAGGAGGGCCCTCGTTAGTTTTTCCCCTGCACGTGATGCTGCGGCTTTGCGGCGCTGACATTTGTTCTGTCGGCCGGTACGATCCAGGGCTCGGGCTTCTTAAGCCAGGGCATGCCCAGGATCATATCATATGGATCCATATCGAGAACAGTGAACTGTTCGAGGCTGTCAAAGGCTTCAAACTTGACGGCCAGATCCACTTGGACGTTGGGGACAGTGACGACCTTCCCATCGGCCAGTCGCAATGACACCGTCCCGTTACCCTTGTTTTCTCTCAAAGCATCGGCCAACTTGTTGCTATTACGAGCAACTGTCTGGCGGCGTGCGAAATTCTTCGACGCCCCAGAATCGATCAAGATTCTAGAGGGATGATCGTATCCCCGTACACAACCGTGTACTACGAGCAACCCGCCGCTGCTCTTCGCTGATTCGAGAGTGCGAAGCCTCTCAGGGGCTAAGTCCTCGTGGTATGCGCCACCCGCGCAGCCATCACGAAGACTTAGTTCTTCCCCAGTAGGGCGCCCCGCCCCTACTGGTCCCCAGCGTTCCCATGTCCCCGGGATCCTGGCTTCTGCCAGCGCCCCTTGAGGACGGGCTTGGGGAAGGACCGTCTGAGGAGTCTTTCCGCAGGACAGTCGCGCTTGGGGTGGCTCATCTTCCCGCAGCCGAAGCAGCGGATGTCACGCTGTTCGGCGGACCCGAGCTCCATGGGAACTGGTCCGTTGGGGCTTGCTCGACCGGGAGCAGACGAAAAACTCCCAGGCCACGCTGAGGCCGGCGTACGCGCCTGGCGATGGCTGTACTCATCTTGAAGAGCCACTTGAATCGCCTCTTCAAGGGTATTTGACTGCACCCGGAACAGCTGAGTGCGTGCGGGGCCCACTCGAAGGCCGTCCATCAACACATTCATCTTGATGTGTTCGTTGAGTGGGTTTCCCACTAGGGACGCCGTGAGTTCCCGTATCTCTTGCACGTACTCGTGCACTTCACACCTCCCTTGTTTACACGAGAGGAAGCGCGAATGCTGGCGGTACTCGTAGCTCGCCGGGAGGAACGCGGCTCGGAGCTGTTCACACAGCTGAGCCCAGGATGTTAAACATCCAGGGGATGTTGCTTCCCGTGTGTACACCCAACTCATAGCACGGCCGCTAAGGTTGGAGAGTGCAAAAGCAACACGCAGTTGCTCGGTCGAGATCAGAGCCGCGTCCATCGCGAGCTCTACTTCTCGGACCCAGAAGTGAAGGTTCTCGTCTTCCTTCTCTTCATACGGCTTAGCCTCCAGCCGTATTGGCTTCGGGTGGGGCGGATTTGCTTCCGCCGCCGGAGCCTGCAGGTTCTCCCGCACATGCGCGATGAGGCCTTGCTCGTATGCGTCAAACGCATTGACGCGCTCGAGCTTCTCAGCCGGTGTTGACACCACCAGGCTCTGCAGGGCCTCCATCCCGAAGATGACAGGCATCTTCGGGATGGAGGCCGAACCGACTCGAACTGAGAGTCGTTCATATGGGAGAAGTCTTTCCTGTCCATTGCAACGAACTTCGGAGAGGTTCAGGTAGTCTACCCGCGGTGGCGTGGATTGACTACGAGTGCTACCAAGTGTGACGGGGTCACACAGCACCTTGCGCTAGAGAAAGTTAGCTTCCGAGAGTATACAAACTCTCAGTGAACGGCAGTTCACAGGTCCCCTCTTTATTCAAAAGAGACCGAAGTGACCTAATTAAGGTAGAATGTAAACTGAGTATACTTATAGGTAGATAAAGCTTGGGTTTGATACAAACTATAAGTCACCTATTGAAATGCAATGTCATCAACCAATGGTTGGCTTTGGACGACCTTGGTACTTTGTACCAAATATCCCGAAGTATGACGTGTCACACTTCATGTAGCCAGGGTACACTTAAGGTTACGCACCCCGTTATACTAGTAGTGTTAATAATAGTAAGGAAGAAGATGTCTTGAAAACCACTCGAAAATTGATTCCCATCCACGAGGCGATACAAAAACAATGTGACATGACTATGTCGACTTTTATTATTTTTAAAAAACTTAAAAATAAGTTTCGACGGGGTTAAATTGTAATGTTGTGTATTTGATGTGACTCTTTGAAAGTCCTCAATAATACATGTATGCCCAGCAAATTGGCATTAGTACAGCTGGTCGGGTACTAACACGAAAGCAAGGAAAATGATCAGCTGTGTAGTTGTTAACCGACTTGACGCGTTGGGTTATGGAGAGCAAAATATGGAGTGCAGGGCTGTGAAAATTAAAATGTTAGATTAATCTTGGCCTGAAAACATCAAGAATGAATTATTGAGTTAATTGCCAGAATTGCCAGAATTGCGGCGGATTGTAGCTCGAACTTCTTCTACAGTGTACACACTCCACAGTGAACGGTTGCAGTGCAGGAAGACTAGCGTCTCCAGAGTGACGCGATCCATACTCTTCCTCACGTCACTAAATATAAGCTTTGCACGTGAAAAAAGTCTCTTGCACTCATTCGATGTAGGCGGTACGTACCCGACGTCGACATACGCACTCCGCTTCGTTGTCTTGAGCCTCTTGAGCGCTTGAGCTGCAAATGACGGACCTTCAGGGCTCTCTTCAGCTTGATCTTCATCAGGACTGCTGGTGACACGAAACGCAGCACAGGCAGCTCGCTCAGGCGGCGTGAGAGATTGACCTCGCTGGATCTTGACCAGACCGGATTCGAGTGCAGGATAATTGACGATTGCGGCGGTTGGGGACAGTCGGGGTTTCATTTCCGGGTATTTGGAAATAGCGTGGTCGAAAAGGCGCCGAGCGGCGGATAGCGTCAAACTTGTACCTTGAAGAGTCTTAGTAACCGACTCAAAGTTGGTCAAATCAGCAAGTAGTGAAGTGACGGGAATGTTTTCCGAGCGTCTTAACAAAAGCGGCTCCAATTCCGAAGCAGCAACGGTTTCGTCATCTAGTGAGCGCAACACCTGTTCCAGTTTCGTGTAGCGTCGCAGCATCTCGTACGTACTTGACCAGCGTGTATCATTGCGCATAACATGTGAAAGACTCGTGGGGGAGCGCAGCAGCGCTCTTCCCTTGATCGTACTCAGCTTTTTCATCAGGTTGTGGACTTTATCAATTAGTCCTTCGTCTTGCTTCATGAAGTCCTTCACTGCCAGTGCAAAACGATGGCTAGCGCACCCGATTAGCGGGATAGCTCCAACCCGACGGCCAATACACTGATTTACACTGCAATTGTCACCAACCATGAAGGCTACCGACTCCCATGGCTGCTTGTAGCGGCTCAAGGTGTCCGCAATCAAGTGTGGTGTAGTGATTTCTCCGTAGTTGCGGATTATCACCCGTCGACAAAGACGTGACACCGCCCAAGATGTTCAAGCGACGAACCCTCGGTCAGGTGATGTACGGAGACGCCAAGGT